GATCTTGTAAGGGGAAAGAAATCCCGTTCGCAATCCCTTCAATAAAAAGTACAGTACAAATACCCCTCATTTTATTCACCCATAAGGCCATAAGTGGAAAACGGCATTCGATATGGACAGTTCCTTTAAAAATCGTAGGCAGGTTGTGAACTTTATTTCTGGTTTTGACATTTTAAAGTGATTTTTGTAAGATTTTTAAGCGGGCGTGTACTTTTGACGGCAGACCCTGATTTTATTATTTTTCCCTGTACTATACTAGAAAATCTGAAAAATTGTTTTATTACTTGTAACTCCTCAGTAAAATCTATGAAACAGTTAAACGCCATGTGTTGTTAATTTTATATCTATTCTACGGGCATTCCTTTGAATTCGTGTTATTTATATTTAAACATCTGTATGTTAATGTACCTATAATTTGGTTTAATGAATAACGCAATGAAATTACCTTTAATCCTCATGAAAGTATAGTACCTACCTGAAAAAATACAGTATATTGTGTAGTGTGATCAAATCGTTAATATACACAAACATAGTCTAAGTATTGATTAGATGTTGTTGACCTTTGAGTTGACTGGAAACACGCGCTCGCGAAAAAGTGTTTACTTTCCCTTAATAATTATTGGAAGATGAAATGTTTACGAGATTCAAATGAAACTGCATGTGCAATTATATAGCAACTGCACGCAAGCCCAATTACAGTAACCCGTAATGGTCTTTAAAACTATACGTTTTTTATATCGCTTTTCTACGGTCCTCATTATAGAAAAAGTAATAGTATCGTACATCATGATTAATAATAATAATAATAAAGTTACTCATGTAGCTGTTAACAGATGATATGAACAAGCAATATACAAATGTACAAATTAATGTAGATTTAGGCATAGATAATGGCAAACAATTTAAAAAAAAACATGAAAGACAATATGGCAATTTATAAAGGACCTCGAGATCGTTTATACTTTTGTGTAACTGTCTGCCTGTCTGTCTTTCCGTGTGCATCATAACTTTGTATATAAACGTCTGGTTATTGCTTTTTAGCTGCGTGGTTCTAAAAGTGATGGATGCGTGAAGATCTCGAGGATCGTTTGGTATTCAGTTGTATTGGATTTTTATATCACAACTAATCAGAGAACTCCTTTATACTGTATGGTGTCCGTGAGCATATAAATGACTTCAATTCCCGTTTAAATATATGCAATGTATCCATACTTGTGATGCAAGGTGGTAAACTATTATAGATGGTAGTCCCGACATATTAAGGGGATTTTTCGAAATATGAGGTGTTACAATAGGTATAATCATTTCCTGTTTTAGAACAATACACGAAAATATCCCGGCGATGTGTAAAAACAGACAGATTATGCCATTTTGTCTGTGACTAAACGACATTTCACTTTGTGTACCTAATGTTGTAAATTAGCACAGTCTGTTTTGAATTATTATAAATCTAGTATAATGTACCTATGCCGCATGGACCGTGTCTGTTTAGTATGACACATGCCTATGTAAATGTACCTACCATATATACCGGGTGGTGCACAGTAAGTAGGAACATAGGGATTTGTGGCGGATAGTACTGAAATTACATACATTTTACTCCAGACAGATTCATCATTTCTTATAAACGAAACCCATCTATCTCGCCATTCACTGTCTAAGTGATGAAGAAGAGCATTTCCACTTGCATTCATTTCCTATTTTTAAGATGCAACTTCTGTTAACATTTTTTAAAAATCCGGCAACAAATAAGAAAGTTGGCGTTGGACATGTGCAATCAATTTTTGACGTGCTAGGTACATAAATTTTCAGTTTACCTATATTATATTTTATATACCCTATAATTTTAGAAGGACTGGTTTACAAATAACGCATGTGGGTCCGAGTATGCGCAATAATTGTTTTACGTGTTTTTAGTCGGATCGGATGGCGCATTCGACAAAACAAATTTATTTGATTTGGTATTTCTACGTCTGTTCGAGAACGAAATTTCATTTAGGTATTTTAACAAATAAAAAAATTGGATTGCACAAATGCCAACGTTCTCGTGCGCAACTGCACACGGACAGACGGGCGGACAGAGGGACGGATAGACGGGCGGACATTTTTTAGTTTTTGTGCAAATGCGGTAAAAACGGAAGAATGAAACAAATTGTATAAATCTACTGGAACCGAATAATTACAGTATCTGATCAATCAGAACAATATCGAACAAAAGGAAAATTGATGTTTGGCGTATTTGTGTAAACAGAATTCATTCTTAACATACCTATTAAATTTCCTTACTAAACACCGTGATATCCACCGCCAAATAATATATTCCTTTCAGGTATGTGTTAATAGAGGTTACGGTATACAGCTTTCAAATTCAAAGCAGTATTTATTATCGCCACCGTTGTTTTTGACAAATTGTTGAATTCGCGCCATTGTTAAAAGCGTACAATTAATTCTCAGAGTCGTGTAGATTAACTTTGATGAAACTAGGTCATTTCAAGTATTTGGCGTTGTAGGGTTTACGAAGCAGAAAATTAGTTATAATTGAAAACAATTAGGTATCCCGTTTGAGACGTGGCAGGATCTAATGTACAATGCGAATGCGATGTAAAATACGGTATACTATAATCTCCTCTATTATTCATATTCAGAGTATGTTTTAAAACAGATTGAAAAATGCTACTTGTGTTTATGTTGCTCTTGGCTGTACCCCCACTGTGTGCATTAAGGCAATGCGTTTTGACGCTTTCATCATGAAATAAAATAATTTAGACATCATCCCCAAGTTGTGCGGCAAAATTATTTCTCTCCCCATTATAATGTAACCTATATCTATGGAGTGATTAATGCGCTAAGATCTCTCACAAGATGGATGGATTAGAGCACAATATTGCATCTTTCGTAATCGCCAACATCTAAAATAATCCAGGTGTAGCAGATATAAGACACAATGGAAGCATATACATCTTTTTCATTTTAGTATAATGTTGTGTTTCACTTTCAGCACGAATTAAGGCAATAGCCGCTGGAGGAAATTCACACTTCACACATTAACGATAAGTTAAAAAACGCAAGTAATTTTCAGGACATAGGTATTTAAAAACCAAGTGTACAGTTTCTGCAATTTAATTACATTTGTTTTGGGGTTAAAGAAATAAGAAAACCGCCTATATTTTTTCCTTACGATGTATTATTAAAACACGAACATGTGTTTGCGTTGACTAACAAACTTTAAAAAAATGCAATATAATTGATGCCTTAAAACTAATTGTCGCTATATACAGGAATGCGGTCCTTTTATAAAGTAAACTGTAAAAAGTATTAAAATATGTGCATGGGTGTCCAACAACATTTGAGGCGTAGATAAAAGATACTGGTGGTTCCCTATGTAAAAATTCAACAAAGGGCTCTTAAAAAGATGTCTACATGGATATATCGATTAAATAGTAAAGATATGTGTCGACAAGAGCTAAAACATATAAAACATAAATTGTGAAGAATCCCTAAAAAGTTCCACGGGCAGTAAACTAAGTTGCAACCTTGGAAACTAATCTGTGACTAAGTCACAACCTTTTATTCCTGAGGTTAATTGTCTGGTAACCTTTATCAGATTCCTTATTCATTGCCAATAAGGATCTTATGGTCTTTAGACACACACCGTATACCGAAATTTATTTCTATGGTGCGTAAATACTGTGTACCTAGTGAACATACAACCTTAACGCCAAAACAATTTTTTTTCTAAATCATTACCCTAATCTGTGACCTTAGCAAGAAGGTTTCTCTACTAACAATTTTGTTGGTTTATTAAGTAAATCAGAAAACTTATTAATTTATACAATTAATGCAAAGATAAGATAAAGCTGCCCTCCCAACATTGACTTTTATACACCACTTTTTTTTCAACAAAAAAAAGAATTATTTTTGAGAAAAATATTAAAACAATAAATTGTTAATGTCGACCTTTCTACACACACACAAAAATTGGAATTAGTATCAAATAAGTTCACGTATTAAGTATACGAATAGGCACTACCTACAGGCCTCGGTCCTTCAAATATTCAGAATCTGCTACAGCGCTAACTGAGTTGGCATTTTATATTCATAGATATATTAAAGATACTATTGTGTAAGATCTGATTTACACAAATAATATAAATAATTGATCTGAAAAACAATTTGGTATAGACGATATCTCATTTTCACGTGATACTCCAAACCAAGGTTACGTGACCTTCGATTAATCTGGCGGTGTTGCAATTTAAACTAGGTTACCATGCGGATTCACGTCTAAAGGTTTTATTGAAGTCGTGTTTATATCTTTGTCTTTCCCAAATTTCTTAATCACATATCAAAGATCTCGTAGAACCTCTCGAAAAAATACATTAATTCTGTTAGCCTATGGTGCGTTCAACCTGAATCACACAGTATATTATGCACGGTAGACATAGGTATCTTCTCATTCTTAAATGAATGAGGGTCTGTCTCCTCCAATGGATATCGATGACAAAATTGGTATCTAGCTGCTTCCCATTTAAATTTCCTATGGTTCCAACCACGTATCGCGATGTTTTTTTGCTTCGAATTTTGCAAACAGGATAACAAATTATTATTTACAGTGCATGATGCTGATCAAATCGTCAAGATGCGTTAGAAATTTTAAAAGTTAAACAATTGGTAAAGCAATCTTTATTTTCCTTCAAATTCTTTTGTTCTTTATTTTTGTCCATCCGCCCGCCCTTCCTTAAAAGATATAAGGTAAAGAAAAACAGTATAGCTTCCTATACATGATCTTTGTGCAAAGATCTCAAACAGGAATTTACACAAATATTACGTGCATTTTTCAGGAAAATTTCTAAAAGATAAAACACAGTATGTGTCTCAATTGAAAAATCACTGTAGAACCTACTAAACTCGGTAAACATTACCTTGAACTTTCGGTTTTATAAATTATAAGTGATAAGATAGCACTTTCCATATATTATAAAATAAGCTGCCAATAACCTTATTCAAGTGTTCTAAAATTGTACGCGAAATGGGAAACATCGAAGGTAAACTTAACATTCTTTTTTATTAGGTACGTAAGTACTTAAATCATTGTTTTTTTTAGATGAAATTCGTTACGAGAAAAATATTATATACACTACAGATTATGACGAGGAATTAGATTCAAGAGGCCTCGGATATGCATACTTTGAACAAATGTCAAAAAACAATGATCTTGTAGCGCAAGTAGATGGCTACACCGGAGAAAAGGATACGTTTGCTTCACTTTTAAAAAGATGTGTACGTACCGCTATTGGGTTAAAGGAAATGGGATTGCAGTATGGTGATGTCGTTTCGTCGTGCACATATAATCATTTAAACAGTGGGGTCCCTCATATTTCCAGTTACTTTATTGGTGCCAAAATAGCTGCCTTTGATCCAACTTTATCAGTTAGGGAAGCAGCTTACCTTTTCCGCCAAGTGACGCCAAAGGTGATATTTACAGGCACCGAATCTGTAAAGCTTATTGAAAACGTTATACAAGAGGTCGGTGCTAATACTAAAATAGTAGTATTCGGAGCGACTGATAAGCACGTGCCATTTAGTGATCTAATCAGTCCCAAACCAAACGAAACATCCTTTAAACCTGTTGAAGTACAGCACCTTAAGGATATTGCGCTAATTTTGTTCAGTAGCGGTACCACTGGGCTACCAAAAGGAGTTTGTTTCAGTCATCGCGCCATGTTGCATTCAGTGGCAGCGATAAAGTAAGTTATTAGTAGTCGATGATGTGGCAAGTAATCGTTAGAATTTTAGAGAGCGTGATTATCGAGATGTGATCGTTTATAGTAATGATTCCCCTTTTTGGAACGTTTTTAGCATTTATCTTCATCAATCGATCTTTGGTAAGAGTGTGCGATTGGTCTCCCCAACTTTTGACTATAACAATCCCTGGAGCATTTTCACCTACAATGTAAAAGGTATAATTATTGTTCTATACAATCACTAAAGATAATTTGTGCAGGTAAATTATGTCATGCTTGACTTGACACGCATGTTAACACTGTGCCATACTCCAAAGCCGAAGGACATCGATCTAAGTAGCTTAGGGACTTTGGTAGTAAGCGGCACCACAATTAGTGAAGATCAAATGGCGAAGGTAAGGGAGACCTTTCCAGGAGTTCATGTATCCCAAGCTTATGGCCTAACTGAAGTTTACTACGGCGTTACATGTTTTGATCATACCAAACCTAAGCACGCACAGTTGGCACTAAAAAAAACCGGCTCGTGTGGATTACCAATGCGAGGGATTTGCTTTAAAGTGAGTTTCTGCAGTTCATCTGCTGCATGTTTAACTTTTGTTCAAGGTGGTAGATCCCGATACAGAAAGAGTGCTTGGACCGAACGAAAATGGAGAACTACGTTTAAAAACCTCTAGGCAACTTTCTGGATATCATAACTTGGACTCAAGTGGCGTTTGGGATTCCGATGGCTGGTTACGAACTGGTGATTACGGTTACTACGATCAAGACTATTGCATTTACGTAATTGATCGCATAAAAGAAATGTTCGAGTATCGCTATAAGCACATCACTCCGGCTACAATCGAAAGTGTTATCAATACCCATCCTGCGGTTTTTAGATCCGTTGTAATAGGTGTACCGCATTATATGGATAATCATCACCCCATGGCGTTGATCATAGTAAAACCCGACTGTTCCAATGTAACTACTGAAGAAATTGAAAAGTATGTTGAGGTAAGGGTTGAAGACCCTTTCCGTCTAAGAGCAGGCGTAAAATTTGTCAAAAGTTTTCCTTTGACACAATCTGGAAAGGTTAATCGTTTAAGGTTGAAGGAAATGGTTCGGGATAAGCAAATTTAATAAGTAAAATTATAATTTTTTCTTTAAATTAAAAATTCCTTCCACAATTGTGTTATTATTCATTCCCTTAACGAAAATAGCGACGAGGTGCCACACAAATTGATATTCAAATCCTTTCTTATGAGCACAGTTTTTCAACTAGAGGTCACTAAATTCTGTTATGAGAGGGAAACACCGATCCTGTGGTGGTATTTACTAATATTGTTAGTAGTAGGACGCCATAACAGAAAAAAATTATTTCATCCCCTTTCAAGTCGCGCATATAATCAAGAATACTGCCGTTGATTACATACCTATTTCGTTGTATATGTATACCTAATCAATGCTACTACTGCGTGGAGCTGGGTTTCATTCTATCGGGAAGTGTTGCGTTGCGGAAAATGTCAACTTGTACGCAAATACCTAAGGTGTCGCGATTTCTGCTGACACGCCGTTCAATTATTAGCGATCATATATGACGATAGTATAGATTTGCATCTTAGACCATGACTGCTAATTGTAACTAAAATATGGTCAAGGACATCGCCTGGGTATGTGAGTTTCAGGGTAAACGAGTCTGTCCGAAATTGTCGGATTAGACACGATTTGAGACTGTCAACCTATAAATTAACAAACGTCAATTAATTAATCGCCTAGATATCCCAAAAAAAGCAAACTTATTCTTATTTGTGGACGTATAGCAAATATTGAAGAGTATTTAAAGCTTCCCGTACTACGCGTTTACTATAAAGCTGCTCTTTAAGCGATCCTAGTGGTGTTTACACGACTTTATTTTACCCTGAGATTCACATACCCACGACTACAGTGCCCTCTATCCGTGACCATCCATTTTGTATTGAAGCATAGGGCGAATAGCAGTCCATATACTATATGGTCTAAGATTTGCATTCGTTATTGTGCTTCTGTGTAAAAATAAAGCATATTCCAATCTTTACCCGTATAAATTTTCCTACGCATATTCAAAAACAAAACAGCTTAAACTTATTCTTGTGTAAGAAAAATGTATTTCTTACATTTTACGATGGCGGATAGCAAGTGCATCAGTTTATGGATAATCAATGGGATGTTCCGCTTTGTGTATTATGTTTAAATTTACACATTTTGCTTTTCGAACAGTTTTCTCAATGGTTAGAAAACGCAACTAACAATATTTAAAAATCAATGCTTCATATGATATTCGCCCCTAACCTTTATTACATTTATTAGAAATGAATACAGTTACATCCCCCTAATACGCTGCTTTTACTTTGATGGCAGCAGAAAACATTTTAAAAAGCTAGCTTTCTGAAATATGGTTGGCTGTGTAACTTCAAAGAATGGCCCATTCAAATTTGGCAAAGTAAAAGTTAGATAATCTAAAATTCTAAACCATCGCACGGTAATGTATTCATGACTTAAAAGCAGAGTGTAAAGTGTCCGGTACGTGGTCTAATGTGTTTAGCTCACTAAAATTATGTTCCAATTAACACAATAACATCAAAAATACATAGAAAGCACATTTACTTATTTACTAAATACCGTATCCACTATCATAACATACAGATTAAATTGAATTAAATAAGATCCATGATGTATCCATATTTCTATGCCCATGACTCTCGGTAGTCAGTTATTAGAAGAGATATAGAAAGAAATTGCAGCATGTTGAGCTAATTTCAAATATAATATTAGAACAAAATCTACATTTAACGCCAACATCAGCGGTTGGGATATGAAATCATCTACCCTGTATATGCCAATTTATTTTGGGTGTAGATAAGTCGAAATATAATTATAAAGCGGTGAATAACAGCTCTAAATGTTGAGCTTGGAACTGCGAATTTTGGAAATAATCGGGAATGTCGATTTAAAAAATGTCAATACGACTCCCCTTACGACTTTGTGACATCGCACATTTTTCATAGCCTACACATTTGGAATTCTTGTACTAAGTGTGTTTCGAGTCAGTTCCAATATCTATGCGCTCGTCTTTTGTTATAAATTGTAAGTGACGGACGACGGTCAATATTGCTATTGGTTTCAAGAAAAGTAGGTATTAAATGTTGGTCGCAGACATCGTCGATTAAGTGATTTTGAGAATGGACCCGATGAAAGAATTCGGATTTACGAAAGACCTGATGAATGGAGTAAATAATAATAATAATATTAATGACCCTTATTCACATAATATTAGATTGGCCGTTTTTTTAAATCCTGACATTCCGTAAGTATGTCATTAAATATCTTTGGCAAAACTTTTGAATTGATTTGAAAAATGAGGTATTATTCTACCGGAAACTATGTTTTGTTTTTTGTTCGATTTAATTTCCGTTAATTGTCAGATCATTAAAATAAAATGTCAAGTTGAGAAAAATGAGCATTTTCGACACCTCTTTTTTGCCTTTAATTAAGGTATTAATGCCGCAAAAGCTCCTGTTTATGGAGACGTTGCCACAGCTGCAAGAACTGCACGTAATAGGTATGCCAAGTTCTAAATTGGTAATTTTGACTTCAAAGGCGTACCTCCTTCGGGTCGTCCAGTAGAGATCGATGAAGAGCGATTAAACCAACTTTTGCACGAAAAATCGCGTTAAACGGCCAGGGAACTAGCAGAGATAATGGAATGCTCTCAGACTGCTATAGAGAAACATCTTCACTAAATGGGAAAAGTTCAGAAATTTGTAGCATGCTTATGTGACAATAACAAAAGTCAACGAGCCATAATCTCCGCCGGTTTGCTTGCTCGTCTCCGCTCAACTCATGGACAAAAGGAACGATTTCTTTATCGAATCATTACTGACGATGAAAAATGGTGCCTGTACATCAATATGAAGCAGCGCAAGGAATGGCTTAGCCCCGATAAACACGCTACACAACGCGTAAAACTAAATCCACATTTTTTGAGTCAAAACCGGGTGATTTCTACAAACTTGGTATTGAAAAACTTGTTGAACGTTGGGAAAACGTTATAAACAGCAACGCAGAATACATTATAGATTAATTAATTGTTAATTTTTACAGGAAAATAATTTTTTTTTAAATAGAAAAAAACGGCAGGAACTTAGTTGCCAACCTAATATATAAAAGTAACAATACAAAAATGAAAAATAAAGCGTAACGGTATATCAAATACTTCGAGTGGACCATGAAGAAGTTCCTATTCACAGAGAAGGAGACGAGTTGCTACGTGTTATTCTTGTAGATGATGTCGGCCGAAGCACTATGGTAACTCATAGAATAAATACCTACGGGAGATGCCCAACCTATTAAGCAACATCCGAAAATACTATCATGAGCTAAACGCGAGGAAGATCAGAAGATCATCGGCGACATTGCTAGTCAAGAAATAATTAAACCATTTAGCAGCCCTTGGACCGCACCTATGGTGCTAGTGAAGGAGAAAGACGGCAACACGAGGTTTTGCGTAGATTATAGGCAACTGAACAACGTAACGGAAAAAGATAGTTATCCTTTGCTCCGAATAGATCACACGGTGAATACGCATACGATGCTAAGTGGTTTTCGACCTTAGATGGCAAGTTGGTTTGCATTCTGAACATCGCGACAAAACGGCCTTTCACGTAGGATCGCGTTTCTGACAATTTCGAGAGATTAATAGAACTGGTTTTGAGAGGTTTGTCCTGGAAACATGCCTTGTGTACTTAGACGACGTAATTGTAATTGATCGATCGAAGATCACCTCAAGAATCTGGGCGAAGTGTTTGTGAGGTTGCGCGGGGCCAACCATCAACTTACTATAAAGAAGTGCCACGATTTCATTATTATCGTTACTCCGAACAAGACATGGAGGTTTAAGGTTTTGCCATCGTTTTTCGTTATCAACCCCCGTTAGAAGAGGAATTATACTCAACTATAGTTTTTCTTTCTGTAACGCAAATGACAACGCCGGCATATCGTTCTGCAATACACAAGGGAGTACCTTTTGGCTAAATAAGAAGTTCAATTTTTATGCTCCAATTTTGTCTGTATTATTATGTACGAAGTGCAGATAATCTTCAAGTAAAATTTGTAACGATTTCCTTGTCAAGAGTCACCCTATTCTCCAATGATTAGAGTACAATTAAAACTACGGAAATTTTAACTTACGAACCACGAGAAGTTCGTTCGTTAATCAGTCTGAGGAATGAGGATATCTACTTCATGTAAACTGAGTTGCTGTATGCTGTCGAACGTTCGTTGGTTTGATTGACAGCTCACTGCAACGGTTGGTTTATTCCAAGAAAGCTAATGCTCAACGTATACTGAAATATGGATCCATTGAGTTAAAAGACAGAAATAATTATATGATTGTCGAGACGACAATTTTCGTTACCATCATTAGCTGTCACTTTCACCTATCCGAGATTCTCAGATCGAGAACTAAGTAGATATTTTGATAGGAATCACGACGATTTTACAATTTTTTACAGGGCTAATGGCCGTACTTCCAGATTTAATAACGGGAAGAGTATATGTACTCATACGTAGGCCCGAGAAAGGACACAAAACGACAACAGTTTCGTAACCCGCCGGCCGCCACATGTTGCTGCACCGGAATTTTATAATTTCTAATATGAATATTATTTTATCTTCATCCATAAGTTAATGGAAATTCTTCCTGAATGTCTGTGAGGTTCCGTTTGTAATGTTATTAGGTTAGATTTTCGAAATACTTCTGCATGTTCCACATTTTGTACAATGAAGGAAAATTAGTTGTGTCATTGTTCACATGAGTATGTCAATCTATTCTGAAGAGGAGAACATAAACGGGGTGTATATTTAACTCTATTTCTGTATTAGCTGCGAAACGCTGAGTTACTGAGTGGATGACAGGATTAATTTTATGAGTGACTTCATACCTTTACAAGAATAAATGTCACGCGTGATCCTTTTTCAAGTTGTAAGTTTTATTATTAGGTACGTAACTATTCCTCAACATAACTGGTACAAAGTATAAAGAATCGTAAGTATTTAAATTCTTAGTGACTGTAACGTAAATTTAATTGCATGATTTTATTTATTTACAAATAATTAATAAT